ATGCTGCTCTAAGAGCTTTGCATATGTAAGCTAGTTAGCCCACCAACAATCCCATGTGACCCTCATATCCCTACGTTAAAGATGGAACTGAGGCACAGAGGAGTTAAACTACTGGCTTGTGTTAAGAACACATGATTTGTAAATGACAAAGATAGGATTGAAACTTGAGTTGCCTTGTAATGACTACAATGCATTGTCTCCCATTGAATAATCTGCTGGTATTTACTGTATAGCTAGTAAATTGAGGAAATGAAAGTTTGGGTAACACCAGGTAAGGGAAGGGACACAGGGAATGTCTGTGTAAGATCAAAGCAAGGGCTCCTAAACCGTGCTAAGTACTTTTTACAACTGTTTCCCACTTGAGAAATGAATTATTCCATCTAGCAATCTGGTTTTAGCCACCTCATTGAAAATAAATATTGCGTGTTCATACACAGTTTGAAGTCATAAAAGAATTGCAGTCCCTTGCGTTACTTCTTCCCAGCCCCAAGCCCTCTCTAGGAGAAAAACACACTCTCAATCCTTCTGTTTCTCCTATTATTACCTCCATATTCCCAAATAATAAGCTGCTGCTCTTTCTAAATTGCCAGTATCACATATTCTCTTGAGTTCTTGCCCTGGTAGGTAAGGACTTAGTTCCCCTCCCACATTTCTCCCTTCATCCAACAAAATTGTAACATCATTCTTCATTAAATCAACAGTCTCTGAAGTACTAGGACAATGCAAAAATTGCTCACTGCTGAACTAAGAAGTCCACTAAAACCACAGTTCCTTTCTTGTACAACTTTTCATTTTTCTTGCAGTAACTGCCTTTTGGCATTATCCTGGTTTTCCATCAACCTGTCATTACTTTTATCCAAGTGTCCAACATCTTTGTCTATGAACATTTTTTATACATTCAAACATACTCATTCCAGTTTCTTCCCTGTGATTTCTCTCCTAGCCCTGCTCTTATCTGAACTGGGAGTTAGCTCTAAGGACACTGCACAGTGGTCAGCGTGGACTTCCACTGTGGTTGTGTGTTGGATTAATTTCCTAGGCAGTTGTTAATACATAACAGTAACAGTAAATTATGATATTGGTGTTTACTGTGGAATCTCTTGGCAGAAGTTCATCTTTTTATTGGAATGTATTTTACATGCATAAGTTAAGTTCACAAATGTTATCAGGTATAATTCAGAAATAGGGATTTCACTTGCCCAGCTCCAGCCCCTAAACTGTTTTTCTAAACAGTTGCTGTTCATGTTTATCTGAATCTTATGAGACAGTTGGGGAAGTATGAGTTGAATATTTGATGGTATGAAATTACTGTTAATTTTTAATGTGATGCAGTATTGCAGTATTGTGATTTCTGTACTTTCATGTGTTTAATTTTCCATAACAACAATTTGTTGGGTTTTTGTTTTGAATGGTTTTCAGGGCAGGACAGGGAAAAGAGTCTAATGATACTAATAACTAATTATATGAAACTTAAAATGTAAAAAGCAACTTCTAGCAAGGATGTATTTCTCTTTTGATTTACTTAATGGCAGGAAAATAGACTTAAGTTATTTAAGTTTCCCTACTATTTTTTAAATTACAAATATTAGTACTTAGACTTCTACCTTAAGCACTTCCCCCAAGCTAAATTATGTAAGAAAACTTAGGACTTGGTTTAATTATGTAAAACCCAATTTTTATAAAATTATATAAAATATCAAAGATTCATTCCTTTGTATTTCACCAACAGTTACTTAGTATCTCCCATGTTAGGTGCTCTTGGGTACTAAAGGTATACACATAACAAGGGCTAATATGACAGAGACTAATAAAAAATTAGTCTGTAATAAAAAAAAAAACGAACACAAAGTGATGTTTTTTTGCACATTTTATCTCATTTACTTCTTATAACAATTCTGCAAGATATATATGCATAAGAACAAATAAGGAAAGTTAAGGTTCAGACAGAGTACATCACTTGCCCAAGTGGTTAATGGAAGAATTGTGACAACCCAGTCAAACCACCAGCCTGGGCTCTTTTAATGAGACATGGCCCCAAGCCCCCTTAACCTGGCAGGTGACATCATACTTGGTTTGAAGCTGCTCCCTACTCCCTTACACAGATCAGCTCTCCTCAAAGTGTGCTCCTCGGAACACTACTTCCACATAATATTCTGTCAGTCAAGATCTTAGTTGCCAGTAAGAGAAGCTGACTTGGGCTGATTAAACAGAAAACCAATTATTGAAAGGATATTATCTTTTGGAGATACTAGAATGTCTGGGAGGTCTACCAAGACCAATCCCAAGCTAAACGTTCAGAAAAAATGCCCAAACCCATGCCACTGAACTGGCCTGGTGTGGACACTGTGTCACTATCACTGAGCACTATTAAGTAGCCTGCAACAGAATCACAGCTTTGTGGCCCCCCAGATGCCCAGTCCCAACAGCAAAGGAGTCAGGGAAGTTTTCTGGATTGTCTGGGCAAGAGATAGGACTGATTCGGCTGGCATTCCCCACACCTAGCAAGGGTATCAAAAGGAGTTTGGAAGACAAACCATGAAAAATATCCAAATATCCACAGTGAATGTTATTTCAGAAAATGGCGGGAAAATAGGCAGAAACAGGTTTCTCTCTTGCAGGACCACCTGGAACTTTCAACATGCTTTGAAGTATGGGGAGTTTCCAAGAGAAGGTTGTAACAGTTCCCAAATACTGGTGATCATGGAACATTTATTTCTGTAACTGGTTAAACAGGATGGAAAAAGAGGTGGTGGTGGTGAAATTTTATGCTCAAATGCTACCTCTCTTGGCCTCCCCAAGTCCCACCCATTTGGCTTCCAAAAGCTTTTACTTCTCTGGTTCCATTACCAGAGCTCGAGTTCAGGAACCTCTCACCTGGACTACAGCAGTAGCTCCCAGCCGCCCTCCCCAGCCATACCCCTTCAGCCCACACAGTCATCACTCACAATCCTAAAAATGCAAATCCGGTTAAGTCACTTTGCTACTCAAAACCCTTTGGTGGCATCCCATTTCACAGAAGTTTCAATCCGTGGTTCCTACTCACTTCCAGCCTTCTCTCCTGGCACAGCCCCTCTACAACTCTACGCTGCCAGCCACATTCCAGAACTGCCTGGCGCCCTACTCTCGCCTCCACCACTGACCCTTCAGGTCTCTTTGGGAAGAACCTCTGTAGAAAGTCTTGCCAGGCTGGACCCGCTTACCCTGGGCAACCTACAATTCTTACCTTCCTTAACACTGAAGCCCCATGGTAATTCCTCTGTCACTGGTCTGTATCCCCCACTAGAAAACAAGTTCAGAGAGTGCAGAAATTCTTCCTCATATATTATTAATACCCAGTAAATTACTGTCCATGTAAAGGGCAGTCTGCAAAGGTGGTGAAAGAGTACAGCTAACACTTTCAGGTAACAGGTACCCTTTTATTTTCTTTTTGTCTTTCACACAGACTTCCATAGCAGACAATCAACCATACCCTAAAAACGGCAGTTTTTAAAGTGTTTGTGTTCCATGATGCAGATAAGATACACTTCCTATTTTTTTGTGGAAAAAAGAGGGGCAAAGATAGAATTTATACTTACCTAATGTAAACTAATATGGGCAATGTAGTCTGAAGGAAGAATGAGACTCAAGTTCCTACGGTTTCAACAGGAGAGGAAATGATAGAGCCACTTTCGCTGCTGCTGAAGGCAGAGCATCTCGTCAGCTAGGATTATTAGGTGTCTCTACAAAATGCCAATCAAGAGTCCAGTTCTACAGGAGAAAAGAGCCCCTCAAGAAGCAGCACTAGGAGGCAGTCAAAAATCTTGTTTCCTGTGAGGTTGCTTGAGAAGAGGAAAACACCTTGATTAGATTTCTTAATTATTAGGGGCCAAATAGCCTCTTTGCATTTAATCCAGTATTTAGGAGTTTATTTGGTTCAAAAGATAAGCACAGTTTCTCATGGTTATCTCCACTGAGATGTTGACATTGGGTAAAACTGCAATGAGATATATATATTTTTTACTTTTAGGATTTAGTTTAATAACTAGATTTGCTGAGCATTTACTCTAGCCACGCCGTTTAAGTGCTTTACACAAATCAGCACATTTAATACTGAATACTTTAAGGCTGAAAGATTGTTATACACTTATGTTTGATATTATCCTCTTATTCCAACACTATAACAGCTCATGTATTTCATGTATTAAGTTCAACCAACACACACGATCTAAGTCAAGAGATTCTGGTGCTGATTTTATCTTTAATAAGTCATGGAGACCTAGAATAAAGTTATTTTGAAAATCTAAGACTGTCTTTCCCACTTGTAAACTTAGGACTGGACTCAATCAGTAATTTCCTAATAACATGGAAGGGGGGATGGGAGGGTGAGGATGCTGGTGAAGTGAACCAAACCTGGCAAACACTCCTGGGCACCTCAACCAGAGCAAAGACTTTCTTTGAAAATGAATTGTGCTGCTTCAAGTAAAGGTGTGAAAATCATTGGAACTCTCAACAATTAAAGTTTCTTTCTTTGAGCCAATGAATTCCAAGTTGTCTAGCATCAGGAAATCCTTGAAAGTATGCCAACCATATTTAAGTACACAGGCATACTGTTCCAGGGGAGAAGATTCAAGGCACTCATTAAATACTTAAAATAGCTGATGACTCCCAAAAGGATTATGAACCTACAAAATCCCTCTTCAGCTTTATACTCCTGGAAGAAACCGGAAATCCAAGTTTGCAAAGCACAATTTGAGAAAATCTGTATTTCCTGATTAAGAGCCAAGTGTTATTAAGACAACGATGAAAAAAAGACATATTAAAAATAATCATAGTCTATGAAATGGGTACCTACAATTGCCTCTTGAAATTTGCTCTACTAGATGCAGAGTTAAAGTAAAAATATCTTGCTTGGAACTAGCCTATATCTGACACAGTATGTCTTAAAAATCTTTCAGAGTTACAGAAAAATTACAATAAACCTTTATCTTTACAGTAAACCAAGAAAAAAACCCAATCACTAATTATATATAAAGTATTTATTTTTATGCATGTATTTACCTACAAAATTTACAGAAAATAAAACAATGCAGAATATATAGAATACCCTCTTAAGGCTTCTTAGGATCAGAGGGTTTATTGCTACAGTTTGAAGAATAAAATTTTATACATGTGAATGCCAACATGAACACATTTAAGTTAAATGGTAGGCTTGTTAAAAAATTTTTATCCTGTTATTGAATTTTCAGCTTTATGTTAAATGAGATTTAAAACATTGCTCATGAAATAATTTAAACCTTTTCAAAATCTTCTAATAAACAGGTAAAAGGCACCTCTAGTTCTTTAAAATATTTACAGCAATCCCAATAGTTTAATTTTAAGGGCGATTATAGTACATGTGGCTGATATGCATACACAGTATGTCAATAACACTCTCTAAACAGTGAGAATTGTAGACTTGTTTGTGGCACCGCTCCCAAGTTATCTTTGTGATGGAGTGGATGATCAGTTACACCTGTGCAATACTAGTAAAACAACATATCTACACAGCATAAAATCCAATTATCTAAAACAATGACTATCGAATTCCCAGACAATACGTACTTTACAAGTAAACTTGTATATTCAGAAGCCTTTGGAGGGTTCTTAAAATCATTTAAAAAAATATAAGGTATATTTAGCATTAAATGAAAACAATGACTGGAAAATATCACCACAACAGTGGCTGAAATTCACTATCTGGTTTAACAAAAATGGTTTCTCTAAACATCTATAATCTCTTACAACATAATGGAGATGAGTTTTTCTCAGTCTAAGCACAATCTGATGTTTCTCCTGCACTATGGTTAAGAGAGGAGCACAGGAATGAAAGGCACAGCTATACACAGTAGTTGGTTGTAAAGAGCTGTGGAGATGCAAGCACATGTTGTGGAAATACTGATGCAGGAGAATAAAGTCCACATAACATTTTCCTCTTTAACATTGGCATTGATTTGCTATTTACAGTAGTCTGCAAAAATACATTATAAAAACTGGATGAGGTTCTGTTTCTAAGTTTAACTTAGTAACATACATACATACTTCAACTGCAAAGATCTCTGCAGAAGCTGAAGTACTAAAGTGACACTAATACTGAAACACAAATAATCAAAAGTACCGAAGCACTGATAACACGAGTCACCATTATCAAGACAATCTGGGTAAATATTGCACAATTCTTGTCAGTTGTGGCTATGACCTTCACATATCCAACTGTAAAAGGAATCCTTTATGGCTTTTTGCTGTATCATTTCTTTGAAGAAAGGCTCTTTTAGGTCCCGTAACAATGAATGCAGATTGTCATTGAACATGAGGCCTAGGTTTCAAAATTAGTTTTCCTGTCTGTAAAAACAAAAAAAACCCAAAAACCCATTTTAATACACAGTTCTATTAAAACCACACCACTTACCGATAAACTTTAGTGGACATTTAAAGGGTATCAAAATACCTCTAAATTTAGTCAATTACTAAGCAATTAATATAGTTACATTTTACAAGCTTTGTGTGGAGACTTCTTCTAAAATCTGTATTTTAAAGAACACACATGCAACCTTTACTTAATGAATTCCGTCTACTGGCCACCTAAAAATCAGCCAATCAAGCCCCTGGATAAAACAGAATTCCAACTTGTACAGACTGACTTATGATCCTTACCAAACAAAGTCTATAGAACATAATTAAACCATGTACTTGAGCAAAAACATTTCTCCTTTCTCAACATTTAATTTTTAATTTCTTCTAGTTAAAAACCAATGATTGCAGTAATACATATGTGTACACTGCTGGTGTTCATTCAGCGTAAGTGAACACAATTCTTCTGTAGGGTAGGGTCAACTGTCATATTCATATATATATATAAAAAATAATACCACATAATCCACACAATTCCATTTTTGGGAATTTATCTGAAGAAAACTAGATACGAGTGTAAAGATGTACAAATAAGTGTCATTCTTTCATTCAACAGTTACTGAATGCCAACATGTACCAGGCTTTGAATGAAATGCTAGGGATCCAGTAATGAACTCATGGAGCTTAAGTGCTGGTGGAAAACACACACATATATAATATGGAAAGTTGGAAGTGTCTGTCTAGTAAGGGATTAAATTATGATGCATTCATAAAATGGGACGATACGTAGTTAGACAAAATGGAAGACCTTAATAGAGATAATGCAGATGAAAAGAATAAGCCCAGGACTTAAACGTCCAATAAATGGTGGCTTTTAAATCCTTACACTGGGTCAAAGAAGCAGGTTTGAAAAATCCCTAACATCATCTTTTTATGAAAAGCAAGTTAGAGTATACACAAAATATAAAATGTGGTTATGTTTGGCTGGTATGATTATAGGTGGCTATAATTAACATATTTTATTATCCTCAGGTCAAAACTGTCAGGACTCTGGCTGCCTCCTGATTCACACTTTCCCTTAATTTTTGGTAATCCCTTGTATCTTAGTAGAAACTCATTTTCCCATTGCTTCATGAGGTGTAATTTACATAGAGCAGAATGCTCAAATCTTATGTAGTTTTCAGTTTTGACAAATATATACACCCATGTAGCCACCACCCAGAAAGTTATGTGGATGAAGCTATATAACATCACCACCCCTCAGAAAGTTCCTCTATGCCTCTCTCCAGTCAATGGTGTTCCCTCTCCCTACACCGCCATACTGCCTACCAGATAATTCTGCCTGTCTCTGATCTTTAAATAAATGGGATCATACGTGTGTTCTCTTGCATCCACTTCTTTCACTCAATGTGTTTCTGAGATTCATCCATGTTACAACGCTTAAGTAGTTTGTACTTTCTTATATTGCTGTTACAATATAAAATATACAGTATTCTACTGCATGATTATACTGCTATTTGTTTACCCATACTTTTAATCTATTTAAAATGAGTAAGGCATTAATGTAACCTCACTATAAACAATTTAACAGATACGCTGTCATCCTTTCCATTCTAACCCTCTTACAGAAGAAACCAGTTTTAGCAGGAATTCTTCCAGACTGTTTTCTATGGATTTATATTCACATATATAAATAATAAAAATTTAGTGTTTCTAATGTAAAACATGTACCTTGGGAATTGTTTCAAAGCAATCCAATGAGGGTAAAGTGGGCAGGGGTACACATGAAGTAAGAATGGCCATTAGCTGGATATGATATTGGCTGATGGGTACATTGGAGTTCATTATACTGCTCTATGTTTGAAAATTTTTGTAATTAAAACTTTAAAAAAAAAGGTACCAAATTCAGCATTTTGATAATTTACTTTTTGTACCTAACATTATACTATAGAGATCCCTCCATGTCTATATTTTTAGGTTTACTTTTGGTTTTCTATGATGTAGCTCCACCAGTCTCTTACCACTCCCCTGCTGAGAAACTTAACAATTGCTTCCATTTTTTCACTACACAAAGGATATTGCAATGAACAGTCCTGTACTTGCCTCCTTGTGTGTGTGTATGATGGCCCTCTACCCAGAGTAGAAAGAAGCAGAATGGTTAAGTCATAAGGCCCACACATTTCACATTTGTATGAATGACGAGAAAACTGCCTTCCAAAATGGCTGTACCGATGTTCCCAACACACAGTGTGTGGGTGCATCCACTTTACCACAGTACTGGAGTTACCAAAGTACTTAATTTTTGCCAGTCTGACAGGTTATATAAATGGAAACTCAGTTTTACTTTGTCTTTCCCAATTTATAAATGCAGCTGTTCAGTCTTTCTACAAGTTTATTGAACATCTGTATTTCCACTTCTATGATATGACTTAGTTTTCTCATTCTTAATCTTTGGATTTCTTAATAGGTCTTCACACATTCTGGATACTATCCTCCATCTATCAGATACCTTACAAATACTTTGTTCTAATCACTACTTAATTTCTTGCCTTCTGCTATACAAAATTTTTAAACGTTGCTACAATTATATGCATTCAACTTCTCCCATTATGGCATTTGTTCTGTCTATCAAGGTGTTTTCCTATCCAAGGTAATAAACATATTCATCTATACTTTCTTCTAATGATTTCCTGGTGGGATGTGTGTATATTTTAAAACATATTTAAGACTTTATCTGGAATTTTGTTTTTTTAATGATATGAGGCAAGATCTAAATTCATTTTTTCCCCCAAATGAAGAGCCAATTGCCTTAACACTATTCAATAATGTATTTCATCCTTTTTGACTTGAAATACTATCTTATCCTCTAAAAAAAACAAGATCGAAGTATTTAGTCTTTATTCTCTTCCATCAATCCAGGTGTTTTCCTGCCCTACTACCCTTTTTTTCTTTCATATTCTAATTTTCTATATTGGGTTAGGTATTATTTGTTTAATAGTTTTTAAAATTGAAGGTAAACACACCTTTATTAATAAAATAAGCAATCAAAATTGTGAGGTAGTTATGATGACACATGATCAACTTTTAAAAACACAGTAAATTCATATGTCTATAGTCCATCAATTAATCTATGACTCTATTTAAGATCCTACATACAGAATACCATTTGATACATAATAGTTTATAAAACCAACACCCACTGAGCTATTTTTGGCAAACAAAGCCCACTGTATTTCATTAACTCTATGATGGTTTCAATTATAAGATGAATCATACTTTTATGTTATTAAGAAAGATTAAACTATCAACTCTACTTATTTAATTGCAGGACACTAATGATTATTAGAAGCATCTCAATTTCAGAGATGATAAAATGTAAAAAAAAAAAAAAAATGTATCTTAGAATCGGTGCTGTAAGGAATATTCCCTCTATTAATTCCATGGAGGAAATTTGTTAGTAAAATGTATGTTTTACCGATGCCAAAACATTACAATCCTCTCACATAAGTCTACAATTTTCTAATAAATATACTTACATCATCACAAGACATGTTGTACTCTGCTAATACAGTTCGACATCGAGCAGCTATACTGAATAAATGTGGTCAAAGGAAAATTTATTTCAAGAGTAAGCTTTTAAAAAGACTTAGATAATTGAGAAGGTGCTTTAATTTAGTTCAGAGAACCAAACTCAATTTGTGGTGAAGGATACATTGATGGTGCAACTACTCTCTTGTGTATTCCAGCAAAGAACAAACCTATTAGAGTGATACAGCTAATAGTGAAAAACGGATGATTCCACAGTGATGTGAAGAAGGACACCTAAAAAGAGTTTGAAATATAAAGATGTTAAAAATTTTAAAGCAATACTGATTCCTACTTTCCCACTTATGCATATGTGACATTTGAATGATCTGAAATATGACAATGTCAAAACTTCCAATAATCCTAGTTCTCCATATTGCTTTGCCATAATGTTTTATATCAATAGAGCAAGACACATAGCAATATTCTCTCCATTCATTTTAAATACTTATACTATTACAAATTTATTCCTATTATCAAAAAACCATACCACCAAAAGCATTTAGTGAACCCTTCCTAGTGAGAAGTAATTTAAAAAGCGTAAGACCGTAAGTCCCATGAGAGCAGTGACACTGTTGCACACTGCTGGTCTCCCATGAACTGAAACAGCACTTGGGAAAGATAGGTGCTCAATAAATATTGTTGAATGAACAAAGAGGCCTTTTATCTCAATGAAAATGTTAAGTCGAGAAGGGGGATTATTCAAGATGGGGATGGGAGACGTGAGACAGAGAATTCTTCCCCAAACCACATATAGTCTGAAAATATAGTTAATACAACTAGCCCTAAAACAGCAACAGGAAAGAAGGCTGCACCAGACTGCTTACAGACCTCACAAACAGAGCAGACCTCAAGAAACAGGGTAACATACCAAAGCCTCGATCTGACAGGACCCGAGCCCTTCCCCAACTCCAGCTCACCGGCAGGAGAAACAAAAACAGAGCACGGAGCGGGTGGAAGCCTAGAACTGCTGAACACCCAGCCCTGGAGGTCTGCTTTGGAACATAAACCTACATTGTGTGGTGCTCTGGAGGTTGGTGGGGTTGGGGAGCTGGGACAGGCAGAGTGCTTGAGACCGAGATTCCAGCCATTTGTGGAGGATAGGAATCCGCATCCTGCCGCTCTGGGACAAAGGAAAGGCAGGCTGTCTGAGAGGCTTCCTAGCAGTGAGAGGGCTGGTGAAGGGGCAGAGTTTGCACAGAGCTTGCTACGTGGGAGAAGGGATAGGTGGACAAGGTTGTCTGGCAGCATTCTGCCCAGCAGGTTGGGAACTCTGAGGACCTTCATTCCCCTGGCTGGCTACTCAGCTCTGAGGCCCCCCACTGTGACATGCAGCTTGCTGCGCTTTCCTCCTGGCCTGCTGGCACGTGCTCACAAACCGACAGTCATTGCACAGGCCTTGCCTACAACAGCTAGAGACGCAAAGCACAGAGGCTTACACCTGTGTGCTTGGCCCAGCACTGCAACCAGGAATCAGGAAACAGATCTTTCCTCCCCCCAGGGACCAGCGATGTTCCCCTACGACCCCCAACCTCACTCTAGGGGCTGAGCAGTTCCAGAGACTAGACCTTCTGGGCACTAGAGGGCAGCACAAACCCCAGAAAAAGGGCCAAATGAAACTGAACTCACCAATCTTCCTGAAAGAGAGTTCAAAATAAAAATCATAAACACGCTCATGGAGATACTGAAAAATATTCAAGAACTCAGGGACGAATTTAAGACGGAGATTCAATCATTAACAAATTCGATATCTGAAATGAAACATACAATGGAGGGATTTAAAAGCAGATTAGATGTAGAAGAGATGGTAAATGGAATAGAAATTAGAGAAGATGAATACAAAGAAGCTGATGCACAGAGAGAAAAAAGGATCTCTAAGAATGAAAAAATATTGAGAGAACTGTCTGACCAATGCAAATGGAACAATATCCACATTATAGGAGTACCAGGAGAAGAGAGAGTAAAAGGCATAGAAAGTGTCATTGAGGAGGGAATTGCTGAAAACTTCCCCAATCTGGAGGAGATAGTCTCTCAAGCCATGGTGGTGCACGGATCTCCCAACACAAGGGGACCCAAGGAAGACAACATCAAGACATATAATAATTAAAATGGCAAAGATCAAGGATAAAGACAGACTTTTAAAAGCAGCTAGAGAGAGAAAAAAGATTACATACCAAGGAAAACCCATCAGGCTATCATCACATTTCTCCACAGAAACCTTACAGGCCAGAAGGGAGTGGCATGATATATTTAATGCAATGAAGCAGAAGGGCCTCGAATCAAAAATACTCTACCTGGCAAGGTTACCATTTAAATTTGAAGGAGGGATTAAACAATTTTCAGATAAGCAAAAGCTGAGAATTTATCTCCCACAAACCACCTCTACAGTGCATTTTGGAGGGACTGCTATAGATGGAAGTATTCCTAAGGGTAACCAGGGGAAATAAAACACAGCAAAGTAGAACAATTAATTACTAAGCAGATGCAAAATCAAACCAACTACTCCCAAAGTCAATCAAGGGATAGACAAAGAGTACAGAATATGATACCTAACATATAAAGAATGAAGGAAGAAGAAAAAGGAGGGGAAAAAAGAAGAGCCTTTAGGTTGTGTTTGTAATAGCAAAAGAAGTGAGTTAAATTAGACTGTTAGATAGTAAGGGAATTACCCTTGAACCTTTGGTAACCACAAATCTAAAGTACTATTGATAATCACCCTAAATGTAAATGGTCTGAATGCACCAATCAAAAGACACAGAGTCATTTAATGGATTAAAAAACAAGACCCATCTATATACTGCCTACAAGAGACTCACTTCAAACCCAAAGACATACACAGACTGAAAGTAAAGGGATGGAAAAGGGTATTTCATGAAACTAATAGGGAGAAAAAAGCAGGAGTTGCAGTACTTGTATCAGACAAAACAGACTTCAAAACAAACAAAGTAACAAGAGACAAACAAGGACATTACATAATGATAAAGGGGTCAGTCCAATAGGAGGATATAACTATTATAAATATCTACGTGCACAACACAGGATCACCTACTTATGTGGAACAAATACTAACAGAACTAAAGGGGGAAATAGAATGCAATGCATTCATTTTAGGAGACTTCAACACACCACTCACTCCAAAGGACAGATCAACTAGACAGAAAATAAGTAAAGAGACAGAGGCACTGAACAACGTATTAGAACAGATGGACCTAACGGACATCTACAGAACACTTCATCCAAAAGCAACAGCATACATTCTTCTCAAGTGCAGATGGAACATTTTCAAGAATAGATCATATACTAGGCCACAGTAAGAGACTCAGTAAATTCAAAAAGACTGAAATTATACCAACCAGCTTCTCAGATCACAAAGGTATGAAACTAGATATAAATTACTCAAAGAAAATGAAAAAGCCTACAAACACATGGAGGCTTAATAGCTTGCTCCTAAATAATCGATGGATCAATGACCAAATAAAAACAGATCAAACAATATATAGAGACAAATGACAATAATAATTTAAAACCTCAAAATCTGTGGGACACAGCGAAGGACGTGCTAAGAGGAAAGTATATTGCAATATAGGCCTACCTCAGGAAAGAACAACAATCCCATATGAACAGTCTATACTCACAATTAACAAAACTAGAAAAAGAAGAACAAATGAGGCCCAAAGTCAGGAGGAGGGACATAATAAAGATCAGAGCAGAAATAAATAAAATTGAGAAGAATAAAACAATAGAAAGAATCAATGAAAGCAAGAGCTGGTTCTTTGAGGAAAAAATACAAAATAGATAAACACCTAGCCAGACTTACTGAGAAAAAAAGAGAGTCTACACACATAAACAGAATCAGAAATGAGAAAGGAAAAATCACTACAGACACCACAGAAATACAAAGAATTATTAGAGAATACTATGAAAAATTATATGCTAACAAACTAGGTAACCTAGAAGAAATGAACAACTTTCTAGAAAAATACAACCTTCCAAGGCTGACCCAGGAGGAAACAGAAAATCTGAATAGACCAATTACCAGCAATGAAATTGAACTGGTAATCAAAAAACTACCTAAGAACAAAACACCTAGACCAGATGGTTTCACTGCTGAATTTTATCAAACATTTAGTGAAGACCTAATACTGACTTCCCTAAAGTTTTTCAAAAAGTAGAAGAGGAGGGAACACTCCAAAACTCATTCTGCAAGGCCAACATCACTCTAATACCAAAACCAGGCAAAGACACCACAAAAAAAGAAAATTACAGACCAATATCCCTGATGAACATAGATGCAGAAATACTCAACAAAATATTAGCAAACCGAATTTTAAAATATATAAAAAGATCATCCATCATGATCAAGTAGGATTCATCCCAGGGATGCAAGGACAGTACAACATTCGAAATCCATCAACATCATCCACTATATCAATAAAAAGAAAAACCACATAATTATCTCCATAGATGCTGAAAAAGCATTTGACAAAATTCAACATCCATTCATGATAAAAACTCTCAACAAAATGGGTGTAGAGGGCAAGTACCTCAACATAATAAAAGCCATATATGACAAACCCACAGGCAACATCGTACTTCACAGTGAGAAGCTGAAAGCTTTTCACCTAAGAGCGGGAACAAGACAAGGATGCCCACTCTCCCCACTTCTATTCAACATAGTTCTGGAGGTCACAGCCACAGCAATCAGACAACACAAAGAAAAAAAAGGCATCCAGATTGGTAAGGAAGAGGTCAAACTGTCCCTGCTTGTAGATGACATGATATTGTACATAAAAAACCCCACTCCACTCCAAATTACTAGATCTAATATCTGAATTCAGCAAAGTTGCAGGATACAAAATTGATACAGAGAAATCTGTTGCATTCCTATACACTAACGATGAACTAGCAGAAAGAGAAATCAAGAAAACAACTCCATTCATGATTGCGTCAAAAAGAATAAAATACCTAGGAATAAACTTAACCAAGGAAGTGAAAGACCTATGCTCTGAAATCTACAAGACACTCATGAGAGAAATTAAAGATACCAATAAACAGAAACATATCCTCTGCTCATGGTTAGGAAGAATTAATATTGTCAAAATGGCCATGCTGCCTAAAGCAATCTACAGATTCAGTGCAATCACTATCAAAACACCAACAGCATTCTTCAACGAACTGGAACAAATAGTTCTAAAATTCATATGGAACCACAAAAGACCCTGAATAGCCAAAGTAACCCTGAGAAGGAAGAATAAAGCAGGGGGAATTACGCCCCCCTACTTCAAGCTCTACTACAAAGCCATTAGTAATCAAGACAATTTGGTACTGGCACAAGAACAGACCCACAGACCAGTGGAACAGAACAGAGAGTCCAGATATTAACCCAAGCATGTATGGTCCATTAATAAATGATAAAGGAGCCATGGATATACAATGGGGAAATGACAGTCTCTTCAATTGCTGGTGTTGGCAAAACTGGACAGCTATATGTCAGAGAATGAAACTGGATTATTGTCTAACCCCATACACAAAAGTAAACTCAAAGTGGATCAAAGACATGAATGTAAGTCATGAAACCATTAAACTCTTAGAAGAAAACATAGGCAACACTCTTGAATATAAACATGAGCAACTTTTCATGAGCATATCTCCCTGGGCAAGGGAAACAAAAGCAAAAATGAACAAGTGGGACTACATCATGCTAAAAAGCTTCTGTACAGCAAAGGACACCATCAGTACAACAAAAAGGCATCCTATAGTATGGGAGAATATATTCATAAATGACAGATCCCATAAGGGGTTGACATCCAAATTACATAAAGAGCTCACGCAACTCAACAAACAAAAAGCAAATAAGCCAATTAAAAAACGGGCAGAAGGGCTGAACAGACACTTCTGCAAAGAAGAAATTCAGATGGCCAACAGACACATGAAAAGATGCTCCACATCACTAATCATCAGAGAAATATGCAAATTAAAACCACAGTGAGGTATCACCTCACACCAGTAAAGATGGTCAACATCCAAAAGACAAACAACAACAAACGTTGGCGAGGTTGTAGAGAAAGGGGAACCCTCCTACACTGCTGGTGGGAATGTAAATTAGTTCAACCATTGTGGAAAGCAGTATGGAGGTTCCTCTAAAAACTCAGAAATCCCATTTGACTCAGGAATTCCACTCCTAGGAATTTAACCCAAGAATCTAGCAGCCCAGTTTGAAAAAGACATATGCACCTCTGTGTTTATTGCAGCACTATTTACAATAGCCAAGAAGTGGAAGCAACCTAAGTGTCCAGTAGATGAATGGATAAAGAAGATATGGTACATGTACACAATGGAATATTAATCAGCCGTAAGAAGAGAACAAATCCTACCATTTGCAACATGGATGGAGCTAGAGGGTATTTATTATGCTTAGTGAAATAAGGCAGGCGGAGAAATACAAGTATCACATGATTTTACTCATTTGTGGAGTATAAGAACGAAGAAAAAACTGAAGGATCAAAACAGCAGCAGCCGCACAGAACCCAAGAATGGACTAACAGTTACCAAAGGGAAAGGGACTGGGGAGGACAGGTGGGATGGGAGGGATAAGAGGGAAAAAGGGACATTACGATTAGCACATATAACATGGGGTGGGGGAGAAACACAGGGAAGGCAGTATAGCACACAGAAGACAAGTAGTGATTCTATAGCATCTTAGTACGCTGATGGACATTGACTGTAATGGGGTAGGTATTTGGTGGGGACTTGATAATGGGGGGAGTCTAGTAACCATAATGTTGCTCATGTAATTGTACATTAATGAAAGCAAAAGAAAAAAGAAAATATAAGTCAATCATGACCTAGTTACCTTCCCTGTTAAAAAGCTTCCTTAAGAGGGTTGGGCAAACTCTGCCATTCATAACCTGGGCCTGTCTACTCATCTCCTGACTTACCTACACACATATGCTGCTGTATCTCTCTCCTCTCCACCTCGCTAACTCCTGCATAGCCTTAAAAGACTCAGCTACATCACTCTTCCCCTATGCCGAGGCAAAAAAAAAAAAAAAAAGGAGTTTGGTTTTGTAGTTACTGAGATTTAAATGGGCATAGGACATTCAGGGAGGCTAAAACAATTAGTAGCTATCCAGAAAGAATCAGAGTTCAAGAGAACTAAAGGGCTAATTTTAGATTTGGGCATAATCGGATGATAGCAGAAAATAAGACAACACAGCATTCTAAGACTATGGAGCCAGACAAGGGTCCAGGATCCAGAATCGGAACAAGAGCAGGCACTGAAGTATTCCACTGAAGGGGAGTGAAGATACGTAGACAAGGAGAGAAGGCAAGGGGTTAGAGAGCATGAAAAAAAGACATCAAATGGACTAGTAACTAAATGGGAGCAACAGAGTCAGGTTAATAGTATCTGCGTAATATTCTTATACCAAGAAATGTGTACATGTTTCAAGACAGAGAACTAAACTTATGAAAAGCAGCAGACAGATGGCCTAGTCTAATAAATTTCTTCAAATGAAGAAATGAGAGGCTAAAAACATCAGGAGGGAAGAAGCTCCCAGAAGGATGAGATCTTGAAGAAAAGTTAGTATTCCAGGGGAATGTGTTCTTAAAACCTATGATGACAGTTTAATTCCCACAGGACAGCTATGTTTTATGTGGCCTGCACAATGTTAGCATATACAGTGTTTCATGTTTCAGTTTTAACTAGATCAGTAGTATCAGCCTTCTTTCCTCCATCCAACTGCATCCAACTGCATCCAAACAGCAGTTTCCCCTTCAGATCAGAGTCACATCCTTTCCAGTCTGTCATGTTCCTTTCCTCTCTGGGTTCTTCCAGCTGGCCACTGGCTTTTGAGTTTGCAACTCTGGCTACACACACAATTGCTATTTAAAAGTCTTGTCAGGTTTGAGGTTATTAAATACTGAAATATAAAGAACCAACCCTTAGGCTAATAGTTATATTCTCACCTAATTTAGAAAATCATATTAACTAGAGAGTTTTGGGCCTATTCCAAATTACATTTAATTCTGTGTTTTATTAAGATCTCAACTAGCGGAAATCAGCTTATATTTTTCACAATTAGAAGACAGATTCATTTCCCAAGATAGAACTTTTTCAATCTTCCTGCAAGCCTCCTTCACTCTTCCCTTAAAGATGAGTACCAAGCACAGACTTAAGATCAGATTTTTATACATGAACACACAGGAGAGTTTCCTATCTGACATAAAACCCCTCTATTAACATAAAATTCCATCACCAACCTCTTGTTTCCTATCCTTTTATACCTCCACCACAGTGGATAAAATCAGGGAGACTACATGCTAAATAAACCCCTGGCTGTTTGAATTGCCATTTAGACTGCTGACAAAAGCCTTATTATTAGGTTTTTCTTCTACATATGCTAAAAGTTAGTTATAAATAAAGCTACCCAAAGTAGTCTACCTAATTACAGTTGAAAAGGGGATGTAAGCTTAAAATTTGAGAAAATTACACCATTATTACTTAAATAAAGCTGCACTGAGGGAAAAAAACTGCTGAAAAATTGGAATCTACTGCTTCTCTAATAAAAAAGCCTGAGTTTGAAATTAAGGCACAAGTTAACAGAAGGAGGCAGAACTTCAGCTTTCATAAAAGGCTGCTTTAAGAAGTAACACTATTAAATCTTTCACTGCATTTGGTGTAGGGATATCTTGGACAGTGCCCAATGGGAGATCTCTTAGTGTTTCTTATATTAAACTTTGGGCAGGACATGTTTTTAATAGAGAAAAGGCTGACAAAGAAAAGCTTTGCTAGCTTAAGAAACTTAAACATGTGTTCTCTTCACAATGAAAAACCACGGGACTGTGATTGATTAGGTAATTCAGAGACTAATTTTTTTTCTAGTCTTGACTTTATATTACATTTCTATTTTGCTATTTTATCATACATGCTTCTTGTGAAGTTGTCTCAAATGCATTATGGGATGAGGGAAGGTACCATCACAGGTAACTCATAGAAGAAAATGCTGTAATTTTTTAAAAGCTGTCGCTAATGACACTAAACATACAAAGCAGAACAAAGACTATGTTTACAATGAAATACATAAAAATATTTAAAAAGATATGTAAAAACTGCACACAAGTTCAGAAATGAATGAGAAGTAACATGAGTACTATTTCTTCAGCCCTTTTTTCTGCAAAGATACTTAATTCACAGCTGCAAGTCAAAGGTTTTTCTTAAGCAAATTAATACAAGGACATTTTTAATATAATGATTAGTTATCTCTGCTTAGGTAGCACTTGAATAACATTTACAATGAACAAAGCATTGCTATGTCTATTATCTTATTTAATCTACTAAAGATTTTACATCAAAACTTCTACCTTTTGTGTCTCGGGATCTATTAACCAGTTCCAGGCACCGGTAGCTGTACAGACAGATACAACTATAAGAAGCACTGATGAAAGATAAACAAGAATTAGTAAGGAAATAAGCGTTTAATTATTTGATTCTACCACCACCAGTTCTTAGTAAATACAGCCAGAGGATGCAGTATTTTATTAAATGGGAAATGCACTAGACTCTGGAATTCTTTTAAACACATGAACCTTAGTAATGAGGATGACACTATCCCCCTTATTTAACCAGAACTTATGATTAACGACATTAAACACAGTAAGAACCAATATGATAAAACTTTAATATTCTATGCTATATAACTTTCAATGTGCTCTGTGCTGATTCTGCTGATTTTCTAAATCCAAATAAAAAAAAAAACAGAAAAACCTCTCATTTCCTAATGTAAACAAACCAAACAAAGACTCCTTTATGAATACACCGAGAACTCTGACTTAAGGATCTTTCCTTGCAGATAACTGCCTGCTGCTGAATTAAACAAAGGTCAGTATTAGGGATCAGTATTACTAGTGGAGCACACCAATCAGTATCGATTTTCTTTAAGGGACTTAAAGAAAGGTCAGGGTAGAAATTACTGACAGTGGAACTCAGAAAAGGTTTCTTTCTCCCATTAGCCAGAATTATTTTAGAAATTCTAAATAGATTCTAAGTAAAAATTAAGAAAAAAGGTACTATTAAAAAATAAAGATGCACCAAGACTTGGTGCATATTCTGGAGATCAAGACAGTTATTGTCTTTCAGTTAGGAAGCACACATTTTTTTAAATGTAGAGATCAAGCTTCAAAGAACAACAGAAATAGGGTAAAACTTTATAATTCCTGGTGATATACTTTTAGAGGTAAGCTATAGAAAACAATCTCATTTCAGATATTTAGTAATATAACCAAAATTATGTTCTTAGCTCAAAACAGATTATATTCAATTTTTTATAATTCTGTATTTCCTATGTTTATTTTTACTTATTTTTTTATTAAAGCTATAGCTGATAACAAGTATATGTTATAGTTGTTATACAATCATATTGGTTTCAAGTATACAACACAATTGTTCAACAGTTATTATCCACATTATTAAATCCTCATCCCTTCTAGTGTAGTTATTGGCTATCAACATAGGGAGGCATTACAGAATCATTGGCTGTATTCTCCATGCTGTACTACCATCCCTGTAACCAATTTATATTACGATTGAGAATTTTTGTGTCCCTTTATCCCCCTCACTGTTCCCACTCACCCACTCCAATCCCTCCTGCATGGTGACCACCAGTCACTTCTCAGTGTCTATGAGTCTATTGCTGTTTCCTTCATTTTGTTTTTTTAGATTCCACAAGTGAAACATACTTGTATTTGGTTGGGACATTAAACAAGCTAATGTCATTTATATGTAAGCGATGAGACCATGATCCAGAGAAAAGGTACAGTCACTATTATTTTATAAGATAGGACAGCATCATATACACTTTAAAAGACTTTTAAGTAGCAGTGAAACAAGGTTTTAGGGGTAATTTCTAGGTAAACCAGATATGCTGGGAAAATCACTGCTTGTGAATTCTGACCAGAATTTTCAAAGCATACAATTAAACTTTGCAAACAGATCTAATAAGTATTACACAAAAAAATCTCGACATAGAAAAAGACTCCTAACTTCAATAGTGCTCTTTTGGTTCCACAAACTGGGTTATACTTTGAAATAATGTATGTCCTCAAGGTGTGCTGTTGTACTTCCAGGAATTAAATTTCAATAATAAATATCCAAGAAATTAAGACTAGTCCCAATCGCTGTTACCAAGCAAGGCCTTTTGTTTACTGTACTGCGTTTCCTAATTTCCTGTGTGTTTTATGGGGCAGTAACCACAATTCTTTCAAATCATATTTTGTGGTACTCAAGATATTTTTGATAGATGGTAATAATGTGAATTTCTTCTATAGGTAAGGCTCCAAAGTGGCACAATTATGCTCTGTTAAAATCAACAAAGGATAATTTCATAATCTTTGCAAGTATATGTTAAATAAGATTTTCCATAACAAAACTCTATTTCAGTAATTTGTAGGCAAACTGTAAATTGTTAAAAAATGTGCTACAGAAACTTTTATGTGTTGTTCATCAAATTTGTAATATGTACTCAATAAAAAAATTAAAGTATGTGTGTTTTTAATGGAAAAAATAAAAATTCGACCACTTAAAAGACTGTTCTTGCTGTGTCAGCCAGTTCCTTTTCATAAAAATTTCTTCATAATTCATTGCTTACAATGTTAAATAAATCTAAACACTACCAAAGCAAATGAAAATTTCTTACGGTTTAGTAAAGCAGGCATTTGTTAACCAGACATTTTACATAAAAGCAAATCATTGCCAGGCTGTGATAAAAGTATCAACTGTCAGTTTATTTTCCCTTAAAAAAAAAAAGGTACTTACTTCTCCAACGTCCAGTGGCAGGTTGCAAACAATGAATATATTCTGTAAGTCTCCTCTCAAAAGCCTTAAGATCTAGGTAAAAAGATTTTAATTTTCTTATTAGCCACTTTTACTAGTTTGGGTATCTCAAGCTTAAATTTTTGATACTCTGCTTCACGTCTTTCACACCAACTTACATGTATCACTGCACTATTTACTTCGTTTACTATGATAGCTTTAAGCACTTGACAAAAACATTACGTTTCTTTACACTTTCACATATAAGGAAACTGGTTGGTTCACTTTTAGAAGAATCTGTAAAATGAATGGTATATGGAAAATCAGCTGCAGCCTCAGCAGGCGCCAAACGCTAGAATTGTGGGGAATGCAAACAAAAGGATCAAAATCAGGTCGAGTTTTAATACTGCTGTAATCAACAACTATTAAACGGAACAACGTGTTACCTAACACCAAAAGCCTTCGAGGTCTATCTGAATTCAATTAATTACCCGATTCCGATTTCCAGCCCTTGTATTTAATTAATTAATGGCTCGATTTCTGCCTGGTCTTAACTGGACTTCTGCTACCGCTAACAGGTGTGTGGAAAGACACTCCCCTTTCTTTCCCGCGATGGGTTACAGGTGATCTTCGTGCACTATCGAACCGCCGACGTTTTCTAAAAGGCGTCCAAGGTGCTGCCTCTGAATGAGCAAGGTGGGTATCATTTCCACGATCCCATTTTTTGAGCTTTTAAAGGGAGACCAAGAGGCACTCCCTTACCCAGGCAGTTACCAGAAATCACAGCAGAAATTAGAGATATATTTCGCGAAGTTATCGGAGTAAAATAAAGAGAATTAGCATACACAAGGCACAAAAGGCAAATGCTTGCTAATGAATAAATAGTACAAGAAGCACGGGCAAAGGCTAAGTAGCCAAGATCTAAGCTGGGGGAATGGACGAGCAGACGCAACGCCCCCGGGCCGCGTCCGCTCACCCACTGGCCCCCCGGCCGGGACCCCGCGCCCTCAAGCTCCGGGCCGCCTCAGTCCATCCTTCGCGGCCTCCTCTCCCTGGAGCGCAGTCTCCGCGACTCCGGTTCCTCCGGAGCCCAGCCGGCTTCCGGGAGGAGCGCGGGACGTGCCCGAGCTACCCAGGAGACCCGCCCTACCTTCTGCCTGCTCCAGCGAGTTCATGTCGGGCGGAAGCTCCGGTCACCGCCGGAGCCCCGTCCGCATCGCAGCTGCGCGGCCCCCGCCCAGCCCGCAAAGCCAACCCCCACGCTTAACCGCTCCCCTCTGTCCCTCCTTGTCGCACCGCCCCTTGCCTAGACCCGCTACGCTTATTGGGTGCCTTGCTGGACCTCAATATTAAGATAGTTCTCTATTGGCTAACTCCTACAGCGGCCTCGGGGGCCTAGCGTTGGACGGTCCGCCGGAGGGACCAAGAACTTCCAGGGGCCGGGCTGGCGTAGCGCTGGCGCCGCCTCCTGTCCCAGGGAGGAACTGCAGCCTGTCCGAGCCAGTTCGTTCGTACGTATAATTACTGTTTCCTTTTTGGTTCTTTCATTCCTCAGATATTTATTGGGCGCCCACTACTTTCCTGACAGAGTCCTGGTGGCCTACGAAGGATACAGAAATCAAAGAGCTGGCCCTCCCTCTAGGACCCAAAGGGAAATAACATATGTATAGAACTAACTAGAACCAAAAATAATGGATTTTCTTATAGTGCCTCCCTCTGAGCTACCCAATCCCTCAAGTAAGCATTTCTCCCTGGGTTACTTTTTTTTCATGTCACCAAACTTTCGTAAATCATGAAGGAGGCACAGTATGAGTCCCAGTATCTAGAACTTAAAAAAAAAAATCTGTAAGTTATTTACTACATTTATATTTGATTAAAATACTTTCTTGCTCATTTCCTTGTGGTCATTTGTTCATTCAAGAACTATTTATTGCATGACGTGCTAGGCACTGTGTTTATCAGGGATATGGGTTATAAGCAAGACAGACAAGATTCCTGTCTTCAAAGGGGAAGGGTTACAGCAGGCAATACACATGCAAATAAGTAATTGATTTCAGACAAAGATAGTTCTGTGAAGGAAGTAACAGGGTTATACCATACAGTGAGATAAAGGAGGGCTAACAGGAGCTGGTATTCAGGGAGAACTTCATAGGGCCAGGCATTTGAGTTGAGAACCTCAAGAAGCAATTTATGCAAAGATGAGGGCTAACAACTTGCTAAGCAGCACTGGAATTTTTTCACTATTAGTGTCTTGTATATTTTATTCATCCTTCAATCCTCCTCCCCACTTGCCAGTAGAATTAATTGACACCCTCTCCCTATTACTTCACTATTACAGGTTCCTTTACCTAGCACTTTACAAAGTTTCCATTTAGGGAGCCTTCCCCTGGACCAAACCCCTTACACACATTATCTCATTTAACCCTCCTAGATGATATTTTTCAAACTTTGGGTCAAAACCCCTGAGGAGGTCCTGAAACCCATTTAATGAATCATGACTGTTATTTCTTTTAAATTATCTATAGTAAAATTTAAAAAATATCAGCATCACTGGAAGTAAGGGTAAGTATCGTTTCATGATCTTTTGTTTTGGTTGTGTGTATGCTCACTGTGTTCTGATTATAATGGAAAGCATATACTTAACTGAGGGTTCCAGTAAAACAAAGTTTGAAGGTCACAAACTTGAAGCTTGAAAGCCATCAAGATAGGTATTTGTAAGATAAATTCTAGCTGAAATAAGCAGGTGAAGAGAGGCAACAAAGGTCCAGGCAGTTCATTTGAATGCAATTCCTGGGCGAGGTTTCTCAGCCTACAGAAATGGAGGCTGGGAAAGTCGCGCCCAGCAGGGCAGACAGAAAGTTTTTAAAGAAGGTAGGGGGAGGGAGAGCTTAGCGAGGATTGGCTAGCCTAAGGCACATTTTTCAGGTTCGCGAGGGGGCAGCAGCCGGGGACTTTGGCACATCATCAGTGTCTGACGTGCTCCCCCCTCCCCTCAGTGCCTTCAACCTTACAGTATTGATAGGGTCATCTTACAAGTGAGAAAAGTCAAGTTTGCCCAGATCTTGCAATTATTGCTATAGCCTGGATTTAAGCCCTAAGTCAAAGTATCCCTTTTGTCTTCTTGCTGAATGTTCCATTTCTACATCTCCAAGTCTTATTCATCACATTTCCCTTGGCACTCAGCAGTGCTTAGAGAATGGCTATTGAACATCTGGTATATGACAGGCTATCCTGGGCTAGATCCTGGGGAGGTGAGGAGTGAGACAGGCTGATGAATAGGACATTGTGATAAGTGGGAGCTTTGCTAACCTTGCCTTCAAAAGAGACAATTCTGTTAACTGCAGGGCTATTATTTGCATGATGGGTGTACAAGTTTCTAGCAGGAGTTTGGGACAACAGAAGGAACACTAAGGACTACCTCCTAGGGTTCTCTCTATATATTTTTCATTTTTGACTGTGCTCAAATAAATGTTGAACATGACTTCTAAAGGGTGCACATTATTAGCTTGCCACTGGCATCTGCATGCATGGATCATGGGGGATGGGATAATAAGGGAGGAAGAGAGGAAAGTAGTGCTTCATGTCATGTCAGGTTAAGAAATTTGGAAACCAAGGTATTGGGGAGATCAAAGGCAACAGATTTGTAAAAATATCATATTAATGAGATTTGGCAAGAAGATAGTCAAAAATATTTAAGGAAAACATATTCCAGGCACTGGAATAAAAGTGAAAAATGCAAAGATATTTATGACTTCTGCCCTCTGTAAGGGTAAAATTTAGTGTAAGAACAGAAGATAAAACAAATACCAAAGACTTAAAATATCAGGCTTAAGATGAAGATCTGCTTAGAAGAGGGATGTCCAATACAGTAGTTAAAGTTAACTATATTTTATTAGGGGGTCTGGCTGTATGCATAGTTCAGGAGTATTATATTTCCTTTCAACCTCACAACACAGCTCTGTGCACCAAGGGGTGTTATTAAACTCACATATAGATGGGTTTACAGATGAGTGGATGATTGATCAGCCTCCACCTAGAAGCTGGAGTTATTGGTGATCTCTCCCCACCCCTCTCTTTTTCCACATGATACATCAGATCACTTTGCAAATCTTGTTGGCTTTACCTTCAACATATAGTTCCACTTTCACCACTTCTTACCACTTCCACAGCTACAACTCTGCTCCAAGCCACTGTATAATCTGGATTTACTTCAATGATCTCTAATTGGTCTACTTCTTCCATTTGTTGTCCCAAACAGTGGTTTGTAAAACATTAAAAGACTACATTACTCTTCAGAACCTTTCAATGACTCCGCAAAGTTAACTACAACAGTGATCACACTGTTTCAATGGTTATACCTTCTAAAATAATTTTGACCAAGTATATGCCTCCTCACACATTTTTTAAGTGACATATGAAATTTTCTTCAGGTGTCTGAATACTTGTAAAGAATGTAATTTCTGGCATATTGTAGACATTGACATTTGGGAATAAAGTTGTTATATCACTCTTTTAAATATATTTGATGGAATCTAAATACCATAATAATTTGATACCCACCATCATCCTTTCAAAATACCTGAATATCTCTTATAAACATAGATACAAAAATCCTCCAAAAAATTAGCAAACTGAATTTAGCAACATGAAAAAAGGATTATACAACATGATGAAGTGTGATTTATCCCAGCAATGCAAAGTTACTGGCATGAAAAAATGAATTAATATGACATGGGCAAAAAGCACAAGATTTGATAAGGATGTACAGAAATGAAAGCACTCATACATTATTAGTAGAAATGTAAAATGGTACAGCCACTATGGAAAACAGTTTGGCAGTTCCTCAAAAAATTAAACATACAGTTACTATATGAGCCAGCAATTCAACTCCTAAGGATATACCCAAGAGAACTGAAAACATATGTTCATGAAAAACCTAGTACACAGATGTGCCTACCAGCATTATTCATAACAGCCAAAAAGTGGAAACATCTCAAATGTCCATCAACTAATGAAGGGATAAACAAAATATGGTATTTCTTTTTAGTAGAATATTATTCAACAATAAAAAGGAATCAAGTACTGATTATTGCTACAAAATGGATGAAACTTGACATTAAGTGAAAGAAGCCAGACAGAGAAGACAACATATTGTAGGATTCGATTCAGATGAACTATACAGAAAAGGCAAATCCATAAAGACAGGAAGTAGCAGTGGTTGCCAGGGAGGGACTTAGGGACAGGGATAATGGGGAGTGACTGATAATGGATATGAGGTTTCTTTTGGGGGTGGTGAAAATGTTCTGGAAGTAGATAGTGATGATAGTTGCATAACTTTGTAAATGTACTAAAAACCACGGAATTGTACACTTTAAAGGGGTAATTTTTTGTTATGTGAATTATATTGCAATAAAGTGGGGAAAACTACACGATTGTCTTAATAGTTGCAGAAAAGCATTTGACAGAATCTAACACCCTTTCATGATAAAACACAGTAAACTAGGAATAGAAGGGGCTTCCTCAATGTTGATAAAGAGCATCTACGAAACGCACAGCTAACATCATACTTAATGGTGAATCCTTTCCAATTAAGATCAAGAACTTGACAAAGATGTCCACTCTTACTACTTTTGTTCAACACTGTTCTGGAGGTTCTAATTAAGCAATTAGGCAATAAACTGAGATCAGAGGAGTTTAGATTGAAAAGAAGTAAAACTGTTCGTAGAAAACATGATATTATACATAGAAAATCTTAAGGAATCTACCAATAAAGTATTAGAACTAACAAATGGGTTCAGCAAGGCTGCAGGGTTCAAGATCAATATACAAAAATCAATTGTATTTCTCTACATTAGTGATGAACCATCAAAAAATTAAATTAATAAAACAATTCCAGTTACACTAGTATCAAAAATAATACATTATTTAATAATAAATTTAGCAAAAGAAGGGCAAAATGTGTACCCTGAAAACTACAAAGCGTTATTGAAAGAAATTAATAAAGGTCTGAATAAATGGCAAGGTAGCCCATATCCCTGGATTGGAAGACAATATTGTTAAGATGGCAATATCCCCCAAAATGATCTACAGAGTCAATGCAACATTTATTAAAATCCTAGCTGGCTTTTTAGCAGAAATTGACAAGTGATCCTAAAGTTTATGTGAAATCAAGGGATTAAAATAGTCAAAGAATTTTGGAAAAAGGAAACAGTTAGAAAACTCACATTCCACATTTCAAAACCTACCACAAAGTTGTAGCAATCAAGA